CATTTTCCAGAGGCCACACAACAAGCCAACCACAGAGCAGGGACTGAACCAGGTTCTTGAATCCCAGCTGTCTGCTCCTTTGTGCGCCTGCTCCAGTCTCTGTCTCTGCCCTTTGCTGACCTCGCTCCTCCCAGTCCGTGCTTGTGAGACACTGGTTCTGCATGTCTGGGTGGTGAGCTCCACCTAGGAGCCATGCGTGGTCCTGGCAGTGCTCCCCTCCAGGGGCGCCAGTGAGGGCCATCTTACCTGTCCGTTGTAGACTTCCCCTTTCCTCAGTCACTCCTGCAGCCCTGTGCACTGTGTGCCACACACTGGCCATCCGCATCCCAGTTCAGGCAGCCTTTGTGTGCGCACTCAGCTGACATTTCCCGGGTCAGCTATGAGCAAGACTCAAGGAGCCTCTGAACTGGTGGTGGAGAGGGCAGTGAGGAAGTAGACGGCTCAGCAGACAAGGGGTTGCTTTGAGTGAAAGGTCCAGAAAGAAAAGGGAGAAAAACACGTGCTGGAGAGGAGCAAGGGCCATGGCAGTGGGCAAGTTAGTGGGTTGGAGAGGTGGGGGGCACTGGCTGAGGGGAAGAGTGGGCGGGGCCAGAACAGACCATGCTGGGCACCAGGAAGTGCCTGGTCTGGATGTGAAACCGGCCTCTCCCATAGGGGGAAGGGAGTCCCAGGGCAAGGAGAGGCACACTGTCTTGTGATGTAGTCCAGTGTCAAGTCCAGCAGTCTCTGTGAAGGGCACTCTCGTTGCTTGGGAGAGAATGGATTGAGAAGGAAAGAGCGGAAGTGAGGACCCCTGAAGTGGCTGTTGCGCTGTCCCTGTGGTAGATGGTCATGCTATAGGCTGTGGGCAGTGGGAACTCAAAGAGCTACACGGGTTTGCAGATAGGATCAAGGGACTCAGAGATGGTTAGCTTGGGGTAAAGCAAGGGGAGATGTGGAAGGCCCCATGCTTAGTGTGTACCCACAGCTGAAACGAGCATGGTTGGATGGTTTCTAAGTGCAAGCCACAAAAGAAAAAGGAAGGCAAGGCGCTGTTAGGATTTGATCGTTAACAACAACATTTTGGCTGAAAAGAGGGGAGGAGAGTCCTGTGTGATTGGTGAGTGTGGGGGTGGGGCTGGGGGCAAGTTGGGACCACACAAGGTCCCAATGAGGCCACATTAAGGTTTCAGTGGCTTAGCCACATGGAAGTGCCCAGGAGGGGCCCTGCACAGGAGATGGGGCCAAGTGTCTGACCCGACACTGAAGCTCAGAAGCCCCTGCTGTCCAACCTTTGAGGAAGGGTGAGGGCGGGCTCACCTTGTGCTCTGCCCCTCGGCGCATGCCCCGCATCACCACACCTGCGAGACACTTCGCACATGCGCTGAACTCTTCCCAGCAGGCAAAGCGCAGTGCTCTGACTGCGTCTGGCAGTGAGTGTCTCCCTTCCACAGAGGAGGAAACAGGTTTGGAGGTGCTGAGCCTGGTCACGCAGCCACTGAATAGGAGGAAGGGAGCTCCCCATGCCTCCATGTATCTGAGGGCCATGCTACCTGCTCCTGGTCACACACGTGTTGGAGTGCCAGTGTTCACGGTGCAGGGAGCTTCCTCTAAGTCGAAAGGCCACAGAAGCCACAAAACTGGCATTCCCATTTTTTCTGGTGTAGTCTGGAGTTCAGACTTGTCGTAACTTGCTGAGGTCACATAGCTAGTGAGTGTGGAGCCAGGATCATGCGGTTCTGAGAGTCTCCTACTGCTGTGATCAAGGGCTCACCGTAGGCAGGACTACAGAATCCAGGAGTCTAGGGTTCCTGTTCCTCCACCACCACTGGGCTCTCTTGCATTCTCTGGCCAGTGGCAGTATCATGATTGGGAAGGTGTCTGTCCTGCAGGACGTCCCTGCCCAGTCCTGGAGGGCTAAGGTGTGACCTGGTGTCCTCCCACAGTTGTGGCTCATGTTGCAAAAGGCCTGGGTGCTGCTCTCTCAGGGAAGTCTGTGTCTGTCTGACTGAGCCTTGATTTCCTCACCCATGAAGTGGGTGTAGAAGCACTTACTCTTCCTGCCTGTGGGGCTGAGGCAGGAGGTCCAGGGAGAAAGCTGGGAGGACCTGCAAAACCCAGGGGTCGCGTGCATTTCAGCTGACACTCTGCTCTATCCTGTGCAGACTTGGGCCCCGACCATAAGCTCCCCGCCCAGGTGACACCCTGGAGGGGAGAAAGCCCCCATCCCAGAAAACAGTTGTGTGGCTACAGCTCAGGAGCCCACAGAGTGGAGCAGATGTGGCAGGGAGCAGAGAACTTCAGACAGCTGGAGGAGCCAGAGAGGTCTGGCTTTCTTCCTGTTGATGGATCTGTATTTGAATGTTTAATAGATGCTCGGGGTCCTAATAGAGAGAGGAACTGGAAATCAGTGATGGTCCTGCCACACTCTGGTGAAGCTATCTTCTAAGAACTGCATGCCAGGGAAGGACCTACCATGTGCCAGCACTGCTCCCCAGCAGGACACAGATATCCAACCTGACCGCATCACCAGGCAGCCCCTCCTGCCAGGATGTGTCGCCTGCCTGGATGGCTGGGCTCCCTCTGCACCTCACCAGCCCAGCTGGTACCACTAGCTCTGGAGATCCCCAGCAGTCCTCCTCAGTGCCTTGTGATCCCTGCAGGCCTTGGTGGCCCAGCTGGAGCACCAGCTTTGCTGGGCTTTGGGACTCAGTTTCCTGCCAACTCTTGCTCTGGCAAGTGGAATGATCATGGGCTGAGGATGCAGCGTGCAGGAAAGAACTCAGCCAGGAGAAGTCAGGCCTGGTCTGTAAATAGAAATTTACTGAGGGCTTCTTTCGGCTTTGGCTGTTATTCTCCCTCACCATGGACCTGTTTTCTGTGGTTTTAGTTATCCTCTGTGATCTGAAGATATTAAGTGGAAAATTTGAGAAATAATAACTTTCAGTCGCTGGCTATGTCAGGCCATCTCTGCTCTGTGTTGGCTAGGGTGGGGGTCATCCCTTTATCCAGTGTATCCATAGGGTATGTGCTACCTACCCATTAGTCACTTAGTTCCCTGGTGGGGATCGGAGAGCTGTCACTGTGTCACGGTGCTGTGTTCGGGTCGTCCTGAGTGATCCTGGCAGTTCAGATGTGCCAAGGTGAAGCTGTGAAGCACTTCCTTTAAGTGAAAAGGTGAAAGTATAGTAAGATATTTTGAGAGTGAGACCACATTCACATAACTTGTTTTATTTTATTTTTACAGTGCCAGGCATTGAATTTAGGGCCTTCACACTGTGCTATATCCCAGCCTTTTTTAAAAACTAATTTTATTTTGAGACAGGGTCTCAGTAAATCACTAAGCTCCCTACTATGCTTAGATTTGTGATCCTCCTGACTCTGCCACCCAGAGTGTTGAGACTGTTGGGGTACACCACCATGGATGGCTGATATAACTTTTATTGTAGTATATGTTATCATCATTCAGTGTGGTTATTAGTTATTTTTAAGTTCTTACCATACCCAGTTTATAAATTCAGCTTTACCATAAGTATGTTTGTAAGGGGGAAAACAGTGTACAGGGAGTCTGGTACTTACCTGCAGCTTCAGACATCACAGAGCTCTTGGAATGTGTCCCCTGTGGCTAATGAGGCCTGCTGTGTCAGTGACTGGGGCTGCAAGACGTTATGGGGGGCCTGTCCAGTGCGTTATTGGTGTTTGGTAGCTTCCCTCCCCTGCCCACCGTGTCCCCGTATCAGTACCCCTTTGTTCAATTGTGACAACCAGGAATGTCTGCAGACATTGCTATATATGTACTCTGGGGACAGCCAAGGATGTTCTTTGTTTGTTTGTTTTTTTAATGATACTGGCCTTGAACTTACTGTGTAGCCCAGGCTGGCTTTGAACTCATGGCAGTCCTCCTGCCTCAGCTGTCTGCATGCTGGGATTACAGCCATGGACTCTCAAACCTGGCTGAGAACCACTGCTTTAAGCCCTTGTGTTGGCCATGTTGAGACTGACCCCATTCCCAACTGTGGCTTCCTCAGCAAAGCCAGCTCCAGGCAGACTTGCGCTTCACTTCCTCCTTTCCTGACCTCCCTGCTTTGACCATAGCCCTGCTCCCTCCCCATCCACGTGTCCAGAGGGGCAGCTGGTGACAGTCACATTCCCCTCTGTCCATTAGAGGTAATAACTGTGGTGGGTGTAGGAGGGGAAGACAGTTGGTGTCTGTGAAATACTTAGCACTGTTCCAGGCAGGTCGTGAGTGCCCTGTGGTTCTTTACTCAACCAATATTTGTTTCTTTTGTGCTAAGCTGAGGTGCAACAGCAAAGAGGTTCCAACGAAGGCAGGCAGCTCTGTGTCACAGTGTAGGGTGGGGAGGAACAAGGCCAGTGGCAGCCTAGAAGAGTTAAAGAGAGAAGGCTTTCTAGAGGAGGTGCCCAGCTGGGATCTGAAAGATGACGACAAGACAGCCAGGCAAAGGAAGGGGAGGAGCCATGGTGTGGGTTATGTATCTCTTAAACTTTTAAAAGCTTTTCTGAAAAAACAAACCCCATCTAATGGGGAGTCATTAAAAATAGAGCCAAGGTGCCTCCAAAGGTCCTGGGCTCACATCTCTGTTGGGAGTCACATCCCCCTTGGGGCGCTTGGGATGGATGTCAGTGGGGCGCCCTCCTGTCTCCAGGCAGGTGTGTTTGTGCCTTGGCAACAGTGACCCAGAGCGGTTCCAAGGAATTAACCCTGTCCTCTCGCCGTGGCCAGCACTCACTCTGGCTCACCTGCGTGTCTCCTGGGGTCCCCAGGAGGATCTGCCCATCATGGTGTCTTAGAGCTGAGCAGATGGACACTTCCTCTTGCCCAGGCTTCTGTCATCACCTCCAAGGTGAACGTGGCAAAGGGACATGGCTGAGGCTGGTACCCAGCTCCAGGTGTCTGGCACGTGCCATCCTGCTCTCGTCTGGGAGGTGGTAGCCAGCACTGAAGACACCCACCACCAACCGTGTTGGGGTAACGGTATGTCATTCCTCTTCCTGTGCAGCTATAGCCTCCGCCTGGCGTCCCGATGCCCTCCGCCAGCCGCCCCGTACAGCACCAGGCAGTGCAGGAAGGCCAAGGCCCCGGCTGCAGCCCAGTGCCAGGGACCCTTCCTCAAGGAGTAGATGCTTCGCCTGCTCCCTGACAGGTAGGAGGCAGGACGTGGCTGCTGTGGCACCATCTGGGTGGCTGGGCGAGGGTCGGGGTGAGAAAGGAAGATGTGACCAGGAGGGAGGAATGCTGGGCCATGGCCCAGACTCACAGCCTTCCTACAGGAGGGCACTTAATGGCCAAAATGCAGGGTCTGTTCCATCAGTGTTCAGAGCTCAGCTCTGCACTCCCTGGCTGGAGGTACTCAAGTGAGTCCTCTGATCTCTCTGAGCCTCAGTTTCCACATCTGTAAAATGGGACTGCGTTATGGAGAACCCAAATAGTGTCTTTCTAGGTTTTTTTAATGGCAAAACCTGGAAGCCAGACTCTTCTTTTTGGTGTCTGGGCTTTGGCAGTGCCCCACAAGCAGGCTGGGCTCCCTGTCAGTGACATGGCAGAACTGTGTTCACTCTTTTCCCCCGAGTTCTGAATCCAGAGCACCTGAGTAGCAGAACTGGGACATAGTTGCAGATGCAGACCCAGGGGCCACCCCGCTTGGCCTGCAGTGCTAGGACATGAGCACTCGCAGGTGCCTCCTTTGCCACCAGGCAGCTCCTGGGGTAGGAGAACTTAGTGCTGTGCATGGCAAGCTAGGCTGGGTTTTGGAACTCTGGGACCCCTCTTCCTTCTGCTGCCACCCTACCCCTTAGCTCACTCCCTTCCCCTTCCTTCAAGCAGTTGGAGTATCTGGATTGGGCTTATTCCTTTGTGGGCTAGGGAGGCGTGACAATACGACCCTTGTTCCCCGTCTCTGAGCACCAGCTGCCCCTGACACGGGATATGAGACATGACCCTGTGGAGCAGGGTTGAAATGGACTAAACAGCGGGGAGCCGGGGCCCCAGAGGTGAGCCCTCCCCTGCTCCCACTGTACAGATGAAAGAGAGGCTTAGTTAGAGTCTCCTGGAAAACAGGAGCAGAGCCAGAATGAGCGCATCTTTCTGGGTGGCGGCTGCTGCATGAGCCCCTAAGCTGACGGCAAGCAGAGCAAGGCTGCCATCCCAGCAGGTGTCCTTTGTGCCCTGAGGAGGACCAGGTGCAGCTGCACTGGCACCCTCAACATGGAGGCCCACTGCAGTGCCAGCAATGACAGCACTACACATGGGACATCAGCCAGGCCTCAGCAGCTCGGGCTGTCCCTTCGCCGAGGCCAGGCACCATGTAGATGGACACCACCTTTGCCCTATTTTCAAGCACATGCAGTATCCCAGGCTAAGCATGTAAATGAACAGAGGCTATTTAATTTGTATCTGCAACTCGCAGCCTCTATTTGCTCACTATTAAGGTTCCAGACAACAGTTTAATTTCTAAGTGACTCCAAATTGTACCTGAAATCCCATTTGACTTTATTTTTGAAATGTGTGTTTGCTCTAAGCCACCAAGCATGTGTTGCTAAATTTGTTTGTTTTCCTGTCTCGCACTGTTGGTCTCAGTCTGCTGTGGCTGCTGCAGTAGAATGTGATGCCCCGGGCAGCTTCGGCACAGACAGCTATTCCCTCACTGTTCTCCAGGCTGCAGGTCCAGGCTCTGGGGCTGGCCTCTCCCAGACTGGCAGGCTGCCGCCTGGTTACTGTGCCCGCACATTCTCGGGGTGGCTACAGGGCGCCCTCCCTGATGTCTTCCTAGAAGCACTAGTTCTACCTGGGCTCCCATCCCCAAAACCTCAGCAAACCTGATTTCCCCCCCAAGGCCCATCTAATAGTGTCAGCTGGGGGTCAGGGGTCCAACCTAACATGTGAATTCTAGGGGACACTATTCAATCCATAGCACTGTTTAACACAGCACAGGATGACTTTTCAACTGCTGCAGCGAAGGATTTTAGCCTGGGAAGGTGTGTACAAGTCAACACTGTTATTTCAGGAGAGAAACTGAGGCACGGGGGCTGGGAGCAGAACTGCATCAGCACTCTGGATGCTGGACTTCAGGAAGGCTGTGCCCCCCAATCCAGAGCTCTGTGTGCCTGATAGGGGGGCCACTCTCAAAGGAGCCAGGCCCTGGCTGCTCTGCCCTGCTGCCCTGTGGGAATCAAGGCTCTGCCCAGCTGATCGGGTGGCCTGAACCTAGCAAGGCACCACACGGGGAGCTGCTCCTCCAGTTGCCTTGCTGTACCCCCCTGTGCTGGTCTCGGGCTCAGCCCACCAGCTTTCCGCCCACCTCCAGGTAGCAAAGTGCCCACTGCCTAGGGTTAGCAGAGGCTTCCGCTGTATGTTCTCTCTTCCTCTTCTCTTTCCCAACCTCAGCAAGTGGACTTCTATGTAGGGGGCTAAGAGGACAAGTCTAGGAAAGGGACCTATGCCTCTGGCCACTGTTACAGCCTCCTCTCAGCTGCCTCCGCTCCTTTGACTCAGACTGGTAATCCGGAAGCTCTCTGTGGGGCAGATCTGACCCTGACCCTAAGCCTCTGCTGCCTTGTCTCCTGATAGGTGGGCTTCTGGGGCAGCCTCTTCTTTCCTCACAGTGTGATGCCTTCTCCATCGCAGGGGCACAAGGACAGCCCACCCCTCGTAGGCAAGTGCACAGCTCAGAATGAAGGCCAGAGTGTGCTTAGGACTGGGCCTGTATGCAGAAAAGTCTCAAAGGTGTGAGCTATGCTGGTCACCCTCACTGAACCCCCTATAGAGATAAGGAAAATCCCCCAACACTGGCTTCTCACCAGGATGTTCAGGGAAAGCCCCTGCAAAGCAGAGGCAGAGGCTGCAGCTTGTGTGATGAAGACCCACCCATAGCCAGAGGCTGCCTTATTTAAGTCCCAAGGCATCTGACAGGTAATTGTTTCCGGAGCAGGCAGCCCTCCTCTCCCTGCCCACCTGGGCTCTGCCTTCCTTTCTCCCCTTCTGCAGGCAGGGCACAGGGTGGTGGGCTAGGCTGCTCTAACCCACAGCACCAGCCGAGGAGCCCCCTCTGGAGTTCAGGTGTCACTGCCATCACAGGCAGCCCCGGCCAGTCCCACCCTGAGGCTTCGGGGAGTCCGGTGGGCCGGTGACCCACATCATCTCTGCAGCTGAGTCCCAACTCCAGACTGTGGCAGCACCTCATATGTCTGCCTTGGGTCACCAACTGCAAAGGCCTGAGTATAGTGAAATCACGTAGAAAATCAGGAGAAGCAAGCACTAAGAGAAGTCCTGCTTTCTGTAAACTGGAACCACTATTGCTGTTATTATAGAATCATTTTATTATTATTAGCAGTGGTAATACAAATAGTAGGACTCATTAGAAGTAATCAGAGTGACTGTGACTGGACGGGTGACAGACTCGTGTGTGAACTGGGCCCAGCCCAGTACCGGGCTGCATGTCCAGGAACACTGCGAGTACGTTTTGTGCAGGGCAAGGATGCAGGCGCTGTGTCTCTGCAGCCAGAACCCATGGTCCACCTGCGCCTTTCATCACTGGCCTGACCTGATCCAAGTGCTGTCCAAGCCCTCACTGCCTTCATAGACAGTGGGGCCTGTGCCACCTTCCAGGAGGGCTGCTGTGAGCTATCAAATGAATAGATAGGAAGAGCAGCCACAGGGAAAATCATACAGCAAAGTTGCCTAGAACTGAACACAGGGATTCCTTGAGTCCTGCAGTTCCCCTACCAGGGCTGCCCCAGCTGGACGTGTGAGCCAGGAAACACGCACAAGGGTGTCAGCGCAGTGCACTTGCACACCCTGCACCTGCATGTCCACTCTGAGTGTCCTGGAGCACCCTACCTCCTATGCCCGCTGCAGTGGTTGGGCTCCAACCCTGTGCAGCCGTGGGGCTGAGGCCCACCACCACAAACCTGACTGCTTGGCAGAGTATTTAAATTAAGAAACAAGCAAAGCCAGCCTAAGGTGCCAGAGACGAGGGTGGCTTGTTCTGAGGGAAGTCGTTACCCTGGGGGGTGGTCCTGGCCGATGAGGGCTGCTCCTGTTGTTTCTTCATCAGGTGCCGGTTTGCCTGGTGTGTTCATTAAAAAATCCATCAGCTGTACTTTTTTCTGTGTACACGATACACTTTAGTTTAATTTCAGAAATTAAGTGAGATAGTACGTGGTCACTGTGGCTGTTTTTCTTTCCTTTTTCTCCCCAGCACCGGAAGTGACCTGGAATCAGTGAAGCCAAAGGGACTGGCAGTCTGCCCTGACTGGGAGCACTGACTCACCCCAGCTGTGTGAGCCTGCAGGAGAGAGGGAGCGCACGTGTGTGTGTGTGCGTGTGTGTACACGCATGTGTGTGTGTGTCCATGCCTGCAGGTGCATGCACATGGTCGCAGACACAGGCCCTGAGCCCCAGGGAGGGAGGAAGGAAGCCACTCCACATTGTCCCCTGGGTGACCCTTGCGGATGGCCCGGGGACAGTTCTACAGCTCAGCCCTCCTGTCTGAGTGGGGCCTCTCCTACTATGCAATTTTTCAAGAGCTCCTTGACCCTGCTTTCAGCTTCTTGAGTTGTTTGCTGTTACAGGGATGTTGGCCTGACCCCAGGGGTCTGTTTCAGTGCCATCTGAGGGAGGCCTTCAGATAGAGGCCAAGTTTCCCTTCAGTACCATCCCAACTCCCCTCTGTCCCTCTGCCCCAACATCTCTGGGAATCAATAACCTACACCCATTGGGGTCAAGCCTGAACCCTTGGCCCCTACACTTGGAAAACTCCCTTTCCTGCCTGAGCAGTTCAAGTTGCTGGCTCCTATTTCCAGGTTTGAGATTCTAGTCACATCACTTTTGAATCTTTGCAGAGAAGCCTGAAAGCAGTTACATCCAGGGTAAAATCTGTCCACATCTGTAGATCTGACTCCTCCCCAAGAAAAGCAGGTGATGGGGAAGGAGCATCAGAGGGGCCTCTTCTGGGTCCCTGTTGCCTTGCTTGGTGGGACCACCTGCACCTTTAGTACCTGAGCATCTTCAGTTAGCTGCAAAGGGATACAAACACCCCCAAAAAAATAGGAAATGGAAAAAATGGAAGGATTAAAAAGCACGGGGGGAAGAAGAAGAAGAGATTTCCAGAGGCCATAAATTGCTTTCCAGGGAACGATGAGGCTGACCCCTCCTCTCTGGTGGATAGTCCATGTATTGGAGAAACGGGTGACTGAGCTCAGAGTTGGAAACTGGTTCAGTGAGGCTCTTGGGTTTTGTGCCTTTGGGACAGGCCCCGGACAAGGATGCCTGAGGCCACTTTGGTGCTGTCTTCTCAGCTCTATTCCAGAAGTGATGTATGAAACCCAAAGTGGAAGGAGGAGACTTGGGAGAGTTGTCACACAATAAAGGGATTTTCTTTTCAGGGCTACTATGGTTAATCTTGCAACTCTGTAAATATGTATATAGACACTTTTAAAAGCACGTATTTATGTCCCTGACTGTAAATGCCCCATTTTTAAAGTTTTATAACATGTGTTATTTAATTAATTAGTCGACTGGCTGCAATATGAGGTCTGATAATAGGTCCAGGAGAGGGTCTCATGAGGTCCTCACATAGGCAGAAAAATGCAGATCATTGGCCAACATGTTTTCCTGTCTCCCACCCACCTCAAGTCTGTCCTTTGTTTTTAATTATCATGAACTGGAATCCTTCCGCGTGCTCCGACAGTTAACGCTCACAAGCATGTACAAGTCGTGGCTGTTCCTTATCTCAGTGACACAGTTTTGTCTCATGACTGCTCACATCCATGGACTGCACCCAGCCCCTCCACTCTGGGGGGCTCCCCTGCCTGCAGCGGGGGAAGCTCACGAACCCAAAGCCTCAGAAGTCACCTCCACCAATGGCGAACTGCAGCAGATGCTCTGGGGTATTGAGGGATACTCTCTTCTGCATGTGCAAAGGTGCCGGTCACCCTTCAGTACCCCCAGATTGTCAGGAAAACTGTTCCAAGGTCTTCCAGCATGGGTTTGGATCACAGAAGACAATGGTTTTGTATCTGCCATGTGAAGATAACTAATAAAAGTTCGAAGAGCGATTGTAGGAACAGGTGTGGGCGTGGCAATCATTTTGGTGTTTGCGATTTGTCTTCAGGTTTCTGAGTCCACACTGTGGGACTTGGGCAGGCTTCACTCCAGGTGTGGGAGGAACTGGGGACTTTGAGGAGATGTACTCTGGGTGTCTTGTCTGGTGCCCAAGGGTGCTCTACTTTCAAATCAGAAAATGAAGCCACAGTGCTAAGACTAGAAAGGTCTCCTGTGAGTGCAAGTGCATTCTTTGCTTTAAATAGCCTCTTTGAGATTTAATTCGCCTACCAATCATTTTCCCACTTAAGTATACAGATCACTGGATGGTTTATTTCCTTTTGCAGTACTTAGTTTGAACCTAGTGCTCTATCACTGACCCATGTCCTAGCTTCTTTTTACTTTTTGAGAGAAGGTCTTGCTGAATTCTATGGCTGGGCAAGAACTTGTGATCTTTCTGCCTCAGCCTTCCGAGTAGCTCGGATTGCAGGCACATGCCATGATGTCCAGCTGTTTTTCAGTATGTTCAGAGCTATGCAGCCATCACTTCCATCAAGGTTAGAATATCTTCATCAACCCCAAGGGAGCTGCGTACCTGAGAGCAGTCACTCTCCATTCCCCCCAAGTGCCTAACTACAGGTCTGCTCTTCTGTCCCCAGCAATTTGTTTATTCTGGACATTTCGTGTAAGTGGAGCCATGACACACACAGCCTTCTAGGGCTGGCTTCCTTTACATAGCATAGTGTTTCCTGCTTCTAGCACATGTTGGTAGTTGATTCCTTTTGAAGTCCAGATGTACGCTTGGATGGATACATCATGTCCATTCTTCAGGTGATGGACTTTTGGAACACTGACCATTTTTTACCATTACAGATAACTGAGCTGTGGATGTTTGTGTAGAAGATTTTGTGCAGATTTTCCTGGGTATGTATCTGGGAGCAGAAAGGTGGGTCATAAGGTTATTTAACACTTTGAGGTACTACCAAACTTTTCCAGAGTGGCCCCGTTATTCACATTCCCACAGCAGTATTGAGGATTCCAGTTTCTCTGTGTCTTTATCAGCACTTGTCATTGCCTATTTTAGCCGTTCTGGTGGGTGTGAATGCAGATAAATTCTGTGGCAAAGGTCCCCATCTGCCTGGTCACACATCCTAGTAGTCAGGTACCTGGAAAGGATGGGGTCAAGGACTGGTGAATCATGATGGGACATGAGACACGTGCATTTTCTTGGGTTTGGGGGTGCCAGGAACCATAGTAGGGTGGATAGTAGGAGACCCTCAAAGCTCTTTGCTCCTGCCCGAATATTGCATGAGGGTAGAAAGATGAGCACAAAATTCCGTCTTTTCTCCTAAACACGTTCCAAAAAGAGGATGGGATGTATTAGGCAGGGTTGTCTGGAGAAACAGACCCAACAGAGGCTTTTATGTGTGTAACAGAGAGATCTCTTATGAGGGACTGGCTCACATGAGCATCACCTCAGAGAAGCCCTGCAATCTGCCGTCTGCAAACTGGAGACCAGGAAGGCCCAGAGGTGCAATCCAGCCGTGTCTGCAGGCTGAGTACCAGCTTAGACTTTGGGGTGGCAGCTGCACATCAGAGCCCATCTCCTAACTGGCTGTGTGACCCTGGACTGGTCACTGACCTCAGCTTGGTTCCTTCCTTTTTTTTTTTTTTTTTTTGGTACCGGGGATTGAACTCGGATCCTTGCTCTTTCAAGGCAGACCACCAAACCGCTGAGCTAAATCCCCGGCCCTTGGTTCCTTCCTTTTTTTTTTTTTTTTTGGTACCGGGGATTGAACTCGGATCCTTGCTCTTTCAAGGCAGACCACCAAACCGCTGAGCTAAATCCCCGGCCCTTGGTTCCTTCCTTGTCCAGGAGGGTGATCTTCAGATCCACTTTCTTGTATGAGGATATGAATTAGCTACTCCTTTGTCTTCTCATGGTGAGTTAGCTCATCTGGTCCTAGGGTCACTGTTGCATGAAGATTCTCATCCCCACCCCAAGTACCTGTTGGGTGTACTGCCAGCAAGCTCTACATGTCCTGCCAAGTTTAATGTCCCCGAAGTGTGAGGATTATAGCGATGACTGAAACAAGCATTCCAGGCTCAGCCAGACCACTGGCTCATGGTGGCAGCAGGGAGTGCAGGATGTACAACTAAGCAACATCAGTAGTGACCTGATCATCAGGCTGTGCCTGTGCTGGGTTACGACTAGGAGAGGACTTAGTTACTACTAGAGAGTACCTTCTGGGGATTCCACAGAGCCCGCCACCCTGGCCACCCCTTCCAGGGAGGTAACAGAAGGAGACAGGGAACCCCCATGAGCCGGAGACCAGTTAGAGCCCAATGGGGACTGTAATGGAGACTTTCAGTGCTGGGCAGGTCTAGGCTTGGGCATACTGCTGCATGACCAAGTATACTTGTGTGCAAGACCAGAGGAGCAGAGGCACTTTGCTTTCCAAGTAGCATCAGCCACCAGCAGTTGCTGGAACTGAAGGGGGTGAGGGATAGAGGGCCCCAGCTGTCATACTGCCCCCGCCAGCAGTGGGGGTCCTCCCTGAAGTAGAGGCCCAGGATGCCTGGCCATTTCTGACAGAGGTGGGATGGAGGAAGTGAATGAGACAAGCACTTTTGGTTAAGGTTGATGTCCAAGGAACTTTGGGGCCTCAGAGCTGCTTAGCCAGAGGCAGTGGAAAGCAGGTCTCTGAGACTCCCTTCCAGGGTCACATTCCTGAGCCCTCTGCTCAGGATGGTCCTTGGGTAGAAGAAAGGAGACATACAAAGGACTGTTGGCGTAAAGGTTGCACCCACCTCCCTCCAAGCCACTGGGCCTGGGGTGTGTGGGACTCCACATGGCCAGAGGACTGGAAGCTCAGGATCCCCAGCACCGTGGCTCTGTGGCCAGCTCAGTTGAGAAGTCAGCATTGCTGCAGGAACTCCATGCTCCTGCAGGGGGACCTGCCCCAGACCCCTCGCCTTTATGACAATAGACTGAAGGGGAAAGGCAGGGACCTAGGGTGTGACAGGCACTGCCCAGACACCAGGAAAATGGAACCTTCAGCCTGTCCCAAAGGATAAAGCTAACAGTAACTCTCTTACCCTTCCTGTTTCTCCCTGCCCTCCACCTCCAGCAGCAGGTTGGACAGTAAGGGCAAGTTTGCCATAGGTGGGGGCTGGTGCTAGGCCACTCTAGTCACATGACAGCGGTTAGTTGGCTTCCAGGCAGGGTCTGGAGAGACAAGTGGAGCTGGGAAGAGTTGGCACTTGCAGGAATCTGAGGCCCAGGGTCTTGTTCGGTTTTGCACCTGAAATATCTTACCTCTTGTCCCAGTCCTGGCAATTTAGGGTACTTTGTTTCTCTGGGCTCCACATGTGTCCCTAGGTCCTATCATGTCATTTTATAAGCTCTCACATGTATCTCATATGTGTCTTTCCACACATGTAAAGTCTAACTCCACTTTCTGGTTTGGCAGCCCCTCTGGCCTTGACTATAACTTAGCTTTCTTCTCCTAGGCCACATTAAGCTCTTCTGCCACAGGGCTTTTGCACAAACTATTCTGCCTATAGTGACTTTCCTCCCAATGGCCACATGGCTCTCTGCTCAAATGTCATTTCAGCATCCCACGCTGACCAGTGGCTGGTCACCTGTGCCATTTGGGTACCAGCTTTATTCTTAGTGCTTAGTCCCACCTAGAATTTTCTACTCCCTTAGCTCCTGTAGAACAAAGTCCCATGTGAGCAAAGGGTCCTGGCCATACCCCAGAGCCAGCGTCAGCCCCAGGATTCCTGGATATGTTGGGGTCAGATGCAGTTTTGTGGAAACAGCCTGCTGTGCCTGGCCTCTTGTGTGCCCTTCTCTGGGCCCAGGGTATGTAGGGGGCTTTATTTTAGTATACGTGCTGCCAAAGTGAGCGCAGGGCTTTTATTTTAAATATTCTTTCGAGGTAATGCTGTGGGAGAGACACAGGATGCCCAGTTACATTTGAACTTCAGGTAGCCAGTGAATAATCTTTTAAGTGTGTCCCACATAATTGAAATTTATCTGAAATTCAAACGTAACCAGGCGACCTGTAGTATTTACTGAGTTTGGCAACCCTGTTAACAATGCAGCCTGTTCCTCGTCATCCTGAGGGCTCCAGCTGGTCACTGTGTGAGCTCATCCGCCACTCTGGCCCTCAGCCCAGCAGGGCTGCGGCTCCTCCTGCTCCTGACAGCAGCTCGTGCCCCCAATGAGAAGGTCGCCAAATGTCAAGTGGGGTCCTGAGGGCTCCAAACAGCATCCAAGTGGCTCTCGACTGCTGCCTACATCGTGGGGTTATGGCTGTGACCTTCACTTGCTGCATAGGATTTCTTTCTTCTTCCTTCCTATTGCCTCCCTCCCCCTCTCTCTTCCTTCTTTCTTCCAGTCCTTCTTTCTGTAGTAGGAACAGAACTCAGACACTCATGCATGCTAGACAAGCACTCTGTCACTGAGCTACCTACCAGCCTTTTAATTTTTTTTAAATTTTTTATTTTGAGGCAGCATCTCACTACGGACCCAGGCTGATCTTGAACTCGCAGTCCTCCTGTCTCAGCCTTCTGAGTAACACCCAGCCTCATTTCACTTGCAAATGAACTTTCCTTGCCATCTGGTGCAAAAGACCAAATGACAAAAGGGAGAAAAATGAGGTCCCAGCCTTGGCATCAGCTGGCAGAATGGTTCAAAATTGTGTCATGCTTGGACAAGAAAGAGCTCGGACAGCTAGGGCCTTTGCTTCTTACCAGGGCCACCCCTGGGCTTTTTCAAGCTGGCTCTCAGAGCAATGCTGGGAGCTGGGTGATGGGTCTGATCTGTTACCCATGCACATTAGGTGCTGTAAGCAGGACTGTGACACAGACGGGAGGGAGACAGGGCTGCAGCACACGTGACTGCCCGCTTTGGGACCCAGGGAGGGAGGCCTGCAGTGTGGCCTGGAGGGACCCTCTTTCACGGAGCACAATGTCTCATCGCGCTGAGCCAGCACCGAGGCACAGGACC